ATAGATAGATAGATAGATAGATAGATAGATAGATAGATAGATAGATAAAAATAAAAAGGAGGAGGGGAGAAGAAAAGGAGGAGGAGGAAGTGGAGGGGTGAAATTAAAGCAACCAATTAAATAAGTGATTCTCTGCCACATTCTGCATTAGGTGATGAAAAGAAGACAGGGAGAGGGGGCTGGACTGTTTAGTGCAAGAAAGAATAAAAAGAAGAACTGCTCAACAACCAAGGAAGATTCTCTTCCTCTCATTCAGGCAGAAGGAAAAAACCCTCATGGGGCCCCGCCTAGAAAACATACTAACTCTCCTCCAAATAACGGGAGAAGAGGGTCTCTTCTGTTGGGCCATCAGATCATGCACAAAAAATCAAAATATTTAGATAAGTAACAAGAGACATGGCTAGGGTTTGAATTTTAAAACATATATCAACGAAAATGCCCTTGAAAACCTTTATCAGAGTGGTAACAAGGTGGCACACACCTGCTATGACGGCATGGAAGAAATTGAGACGGGGGGTTGTAAGCTTGAGGTTAGCTTGAGCTACAAAACAAAAGAAAACCATAAGAATGGGGTTTTGTGGCTTGCTACAATAAAGAAAAGCTAGCAAACAAAACCACAATAAGCTGGATATTATTGTGGGGTATTTGATCACACTGTGTGGAAGGTACCTTTCGAGTCGGCTGGATAGGACCAGATGCTCTGGCTCACTGTACAGTTGGAGGATCCCATACCCAGGACACCTAAGTCAGCCCTTATGGATTTCAGGTTTTGGAATGCTGACATGTGCATAATGAGATGTGTTAGAGAAGTGTCCACTTTAAACATTAAATTCATATTTCATATGCATATTATACACATGCCCTGAGTGTAATATAAGCAATGTATTCAGGGCATCTGAGTTTTAACTATAACCTGTCACAGAAGGCAGGTATCTCCCATGTGGTATCACATCCGGGCTCTAAAGTTTCAGATTCTGAAGCTCTCTGAGTTCTGGACGACAGAGCTCAGCCTGGCGACCTGAGTGAGTGTTTCCTCCATCACAGCTCTGCCTTATCCTTATCCTCTCGCTGCCATTCCAAAGCTTAGGAGGAAATCATTTTCTCCACATCAAAGAGCTTAAACAGCCAGAAGTAGCCATTAATCAGCTAGTCCTCACATTCTTGTCTGCTCTTGTTTTCAAATCAAAGTTGGAATTTAATAAGAGATCTGAATACAGGTTTTAAGCACTAGAGTTGAGAAAAGAAAGCATTCGGGAGGGGAAAAGGCAAGCCAGCCAGGAATGTGGTGAGGCACCTCGTGCCATCATGGTGCAGGAGCGTCCCGGAGAAGCCCTATGTTTTCATTTAATCCCACATCTAAGGCAGAGCTGCTTCTGCACATGTAATGCCTGGGCCCCAGGCCCTTGTTTCAGTAAGATTAAACAAACACTGATTGAAATCAATATGACGAGGACTTGTAATGAACTTTTCAGCTGACATGAAAGGCGCAGGAGCAGGGTCAGACAGACAGTTCACTTCCCGATGCGATGCTCCAACCATACAGTAAGCCCCTTGACCTCTGGCACAGTGGTTCTCGACCTTCCTAATGCGTCGGTCTTAATACAGATCCTCATGTTGTGGTGACCCCCAAACATAAGATTATGTCATTACTACTTCATAACTATAGTTTTGCTACTATTATGAATCGTAATGTACATATCTGATATCACAATATCTGATAAATGAACCCCATGAAAGTAGCATTCACCCCCCCAAAGGTGTCACAACCCACAGGTTGAGAACTTCTGCTTTAGTATCTGATCCTGGTGGTGGGAAAATAAAACGGCCTAAGATATGCACTCCCTTAGCCAATGCTCAACCCATTGCATTTACTAAATGTCAGTAGTAACCCAGCAATGGTGATAGAAGGGACAGTTATGGGGGTGGGGGCAGAGGTGGGGACAGCAGAGTCTTCTAAACACAAAATTTCAACTGGAATATCCAAAGGCTGGGTCAGAAGCTGTGTGCGTGTATGTGTGTGTGTGTTTGTTTGCGCGTGTGCGCGTGTGTTTGCGCGTGTGTGCATGCATATGCATGTAAATATCTGTGTGTATACGTTTGTATATGTTTTTAAATGGGTATTAAAAGAGATATACCCCCAGCCCTTGTAAATATTATAATCAGCAAGAATGTTTTTAATAACTTGATATATTTCAATACTTTTCAAAAAAGTATCTGAGGGGACTAGAGTATAGATCAGTGGTACATGGTTCTCACACACACACACACACACACACACACACACAGGTATGTAAGTTCAGAGGAGTGAGACTTCCCATGTACCTGGAAAGGTATAAAACTTTACAGTACTGTTAATGGATACTTTTTTCCCCTGCAGAGAGCATTTTCATCGAGAAGTCATACCATAAGACCAGCGAGACAGCTTGGCAGAGGAAGGTGCTTGCTGCTGGGCCTGACAGAACCCACAGAACCCACGTGGAAGGCAAGAACTGACTCCTGCAAGTTGCCCTTTGACCTCCACACTTGCACTGTGGTACCCTTGTCCACATACATACATGCACCCCCAAAAGTTAATAAATTAAATTCTAATAAATTTTAAGACTATATCATAAACATAAGTGGGAGGTATAATTTAACCACAATCACTATAAATTATTTAAAAAATACTTAAACTCTTACAAACAACTTGTAAATGGTTTTCAAAACAACATCTCTTGTTTTGAATCTTATGATAGTCCAATCCATCACCAAAACCAAACCTCACCCATATCATCTTCACATATTACTACTAAGTTAATCTTCCTCTCTCTGAATGCTAACAGATACTAATACATTACATGGTGGCACACGCCTGTAATACCAACATTTGGGAGCCTGAGGCAAGGGGATTATAAGCTCAAAGATGGCCTAGGCTATACAGTAAGCTCCAGGTCAGCTTGGGCCACATCGCGAAATTTTTAAAAAATACAATGAAGGGGGGAAAGAAAGAAGGGAGGGAGGGAAAAAAAAAACCCTATTTTCCCTCCAGTATCTTTCAAGCTGTGTGTATAAATCAAGATGTAGATATGTATGTATACACACACACACACACACACACACACACACGACACGACTTGGTATTTAAAGACAATGTGAGACACCAAAAAATGATCTATAAGTTTATCAAGAAAATGGAAGCTAAGTGCAGACCTTGCCTGGGAGGAGCCGATGATGAAATCAGCTTAGAGCATCTATACTGCTGTGTCTGCAAAGGAAAGAGAAAGGGATAAACACTAATCCTATCGCAGGCAAGGCTGGGGAGTATCAACATGCTCCCCTTCAGTCACAGACCGAGGACTGCCTTGACGCTCTGCTCGCAAGACCTGTTGAAATGTCACAGAACAAACGTGTTGTTACTCCACGTGACCGCTGCATGGAATCCTTACAAGTCACCCCTTCCTCAAAGGTGTTCATAGGATCTAGACACGTCGTGTTAGCGGTTTGTTTGAATGCAAGCCTACTTCCTAGAAAATGGACCATCCAAAATCTCCCAAACCATCACATGGCAGCTGAGGATTAGTCTTGTTGACCAAGCATAGTGAATGCATTCATGCATCCGAAGTTTAATTCCTGAAGTATTTCTTACCCGATGCCAACAAGTGAACTTTGCCTCCTCACCTTTCTGCGAACCCACTATGCACAGACTTCCCTTTCAGAACTCCTGACGAGGATACAGTGAGGGAGCAGAAGTAACAGCCGCTCAGGGAAAAGCAACCCTTTAACCCCTCTAGTACCTCTTGGTCTTGTGTTCGAAGTTTCCCACGTCCAGAGGCAGACAGAATCCCGCCAAGCAGCAACACCAGCTCCACAGAGTTGAAGTGAGTCCCTCCAAGCTCTCCTGCACCCCTTGTCATCCCCCAGAGACAAGCAGGGGAAACGGCATGAATTAATCGGAAGCCACAAGGCAAGAGAGAACAACTCCAAGTCCAGATGCTCACACAGAGGATGAAACCACCGAGGAAGCTGTATGAGGCGTGAGGCTGCAAGTCAACAGCCTGCGGAAGACACCTCCCCACTCCAGCCTAAATCCAAGCCGCCTGCGCCCTGTTGTCATAGCATTTTACAACGGAGGCTACTGCGCAAGTCAGACGCGGGGCCGCGGGGTATGCTGGGTGTCGTAGTCCAGGCGGCCGACAGCGAGTGGCTGGGAGAGACGGTTCCTGGGCCGTCCTTGACACCCTAAATGACTGCAGGGTGGGATGGAGCAGGGCGCCACTGAAATACTCGGGCAGCAGGTCCTTCACCGCGGCATTGGCGGAAGTCCCGCCTCCGCGGGGGGGCTACCACAGACCATGCCCGCCGTGCTTTAGTGTTCTGGTGTCTAGGCCAGAGCCACCGTGGTTTTTACTATTTGTATCGTTTTCTTTCTTGCGTTGGCCTAACTGCTGTGGCTAAGATTTCAGGCACCATACTGAATAAAAGCAAAGAGTAGATCCCCTTGTTTCATTCCTCATTTTCGAAAAAAATAGTTACGGTTTCTCCTCATTTAGTATAATATTGGCTATAGGTTGGTTGTCAATTTGACACACCTGGGAAGGGCGCCCTCAACTGAAGAAAGATTGGCCTGTAGGTATGTCGGGGTATTTTCTTGACTGTTTCTGCCTGCTAGACAGGCAGGCCTGGGCTTTCTGAGAAAGGGAGCCCAGCAGTAACTATCCAGAACGGTATCTACACTAACTTCCTAAACCGTGAACGGTAAGGGGTATTATTAAACGGGCAATGCCAGCACACACTCTTGATCTTGGTCACAACAACAGAAAGAAAACTGCTATGTTGAGGTATGTCCATAACTTTCTCAGGACTTTTATCATGCAAGAGTATAAAGCTTTTGTCAACGGCCATTTCTGAGTCTCTTGAGGTGGCCATATGATTTCTCTCCTTGAATCTTTCTGTATTGAGTCACATTTATTGGCTGAAATATATTGTCCTGGCATGCCTCTAATCAAGCCAAGTTTGTTCATGGTATATGAATTTTTTTTCAATGTGTCATTGAATAGTGGGTGCTTTATGAGGAATTTTTGCACGTGTTCTTACTAAGTTTTGGTATCAGAATGAAGCTAGCTTTATAAGATGAGTTTGGAAGTGTGCTTTCCAACTCTGTTTATGGGGAACTTTTTACTTTTATTTTTCTTAGATTTATCTGTTATATTTATTTTATGCATATGAGTATTTATCCTACTTGTATGTAAGTACGCATATGCATGCCTAGTGCTTGGGGAGTGCAGTCTGGTGCCTAGGGAGGGCAGCCTGGTACCTAGGGAGGGCAGAAGAGGGCACTAGGTCCTTTCAAACTGGAGTTACAGACCATTGTGAAGCCCAATGCTGAGAATGGAACTCAGGTCCCATGGAAGAGCATTGTATGCTTTTAACCACTGAGACATCTCTCAGGCCACCAATTTTATGGAAATTTTTGAGAAGACTTGGTGTTGATTTTTAAATATCTGATAGAATTACAGAGTGAGTCCCTGTAGTTTGGAGAATAGTTTAATTCAGAGACTGTTACTACCCCAGTGTCATTATTGCTTATAGGTTTATTTAACCTCTGTATACCTTTGTCTTGGTTTGGGTTTCTGTTGCTGTGAAGAAACACCATGACCACAATAACTATTGTAAAGGAAAACATTTAATTGAGTGACTTACAGTTTCGGGGGTTTAGTCCTTTAGGTTTTTGTTTGTTTGTTTGGTTGGTTGGTTGGTTTTTTTGGGTTTTGTTTTTTTTGTTTTTTTTTTTTTTTGAGGCAGGGTTTCTCTGGGTAGCTCTGGCTGTCCTAGAACTCACTCTGTAGACCAGGCTGGTATCAAACTCACAGAGATCCACCTGTCCCTGCATTCTGAGTGCTGGGATTAAAGGCATGTAATGCCACCACCCCACAGGAGCTCTGCATCTTGATCCTTAGGCAACAGGAAGTGAACTGCATACCATACTGGGCATAGCTTGAGCATAAGAGACCTCAAAGCCCACCCTGACAGTGGCACACTTCCTCCAACAAGGCCACACTTACTCTAATAAGGCCACATCTACCCCAACAAAACCACACCTTCTAATAGTGTCACTTCCTATGTGCCAAGCATTCAAATAAATGAATCTATGGGAGCCATGCATATTCAAATCACCACAACCCTTCTGCTATAACTTTGGTAGGTCATATGCTTCTAGAAATGTATCCTTTTCTTCTAGATTTCTTAATTTGAAAAACAAGTTTTTAAAACTTTCACTAATGATCCTTTGAATTTCATTAGAGTCTATGTGACATTCTATTTTATCTCTAATGTCAATTAATTTAGGTCTTCTCTCTTATTCTTTTGCTTAGTTTGGCTAAGAGAATCTGTCTTGTTTGTCTTTGCTAAGACTCAACTCTTTCATTGTAATTTCTTTTGTTCCTCTTTTTTCTAATATATATTTACTAACTCTTTGAGAATTGCAAACAATATAATTTTCAATTATTATTATTTTATTTTAAGTGTTTGTGGATGTTAACTAAGAAAGGCCCACATAAGCTCATAGTTTTGAAGGCTTAGTCACCAGAGAGTGAAACTGTTTGGAAGGGTTAGAAGGTATAGCCTTGTTGAAATAAATGCATCACTGGGCTTTGAGTCTTCAAAAGCCCATGCTACACCCGGTCTGTCACCCCACTCACTGTAGATCAGAATGCAGCTCTCAGCTACTGCTCAAACATCATGGCTTGTTGCCATGTTCCTCACTATGATGATAATGGAGTAAACCTTTGAGACTGTAAGCAAACCTCTGATTAAATGTTTCCTTTTATAAGAGTTGCTGTGGTAGGATGGCCAGCAAAAGCAATTCTTTATAGCAAAAGAACAGTGACTAAGACAGACGCTGGTACTAGGAGTGGGGTATTGCTGTGACCATGTTGTTGTTTGGAGGAATATGGAAGACTCTGTCACTCTGGACTAGAAAAGAGATTGGATACTCTAAGCAGGCTTAATGGATCATCATAGTAGGAGCATGGGAAATGGTGCTGAGTGTGATGTGAGTTGTGATAGCCCAGCTCAAGAAGTCTTAGAGGGAAGGAATATTAGTAAGTGGCCTAGAGATCATTCTTGTGATATTTTGACCAAGAATGTGACTGGTCTTTGCCCTTGTTCTATAAATCTGCCTGAGACTAAACTGAAGAGTTTGGATTAATGACATTGGCAGAGGCGATTTCAATACAGCCTAAGATAGACTCTGTCATGTGGTTATTAGTAATCACTCTTATGCAGATCTACGATGAAAAAGAGCAAAGTGGACAAAGAGAAACACAAAATGTACAGCTTGAGGGAAAAAGTATACACCAGGACCTGTAATGGAATTACATCAGTGCTCAAAGAAAGAAACAGTTTAAAGAAAAGTCTGATACTAAATGGAATAAAGGGAGTGGCAACCTCAAAGCAAGACCCCATCCAACTAAGCTTCCTGTTTCTGAAAATGGATTAAGCTTAAGCAGCAAAAGAAACCAACGACAACAGAAAGCTGAAACAGATGTAATTGAGCAAGGGGGGCAAGTTCTATCCACAACGAACAACAGAACTTGGCAGCTTTGACTAGTTTTACAAGAAATGGACTGTGTAATCTCCCTCAATGGCAAAGGAAAGCTGCTGAGGCCAGGCATGTATCAATAGTGCCCTTGCCCTGAGGCCCAGAGAGGTCAATGCATGAAGCTGTGAAGGTTAAGCCTGAGTTACGTGGAAATCCCAAGATGTTGGGGATGCCAGAAGGTAGGATATGTGCTAAGGAGAGTTGCTAACAGGAAGTGGAAACAGCCCAAGAGAAAGAAGTGTATTGTAGTTAACAAAGTTGAAAGGAGTTTGAGACCTGGACAGCTCTTTGACATCAGACATAGAAATGCAGAATTTGGAGTTTGCCTTGCTGGTTTTTGGTCTTACTTTGGTCCAGTATTTCTTCACTATGCTCCCTTTCTTCCATTTTGAAATGGTAATGTATATGCTGTGCTATTGTATGTTAGAAGAATGTGATCTGTTTTTTGATTTTTATTTTATGGAAGGTTGTAGTTAAGAGATTGCCTTGAGTCTCAGAAGAGACTGGACTTTTAAACAGTGTTGAGTCTATGATAGACTATGGAGATTTTTTTGAAGTTGAACTAAATGTTTGCATTATGGTATAACTGCAAGTCTATTGGGGCCAGGGAGTGGAATGTGATGATTTGAGTAAGAACGGTCCCCATAGGCTCATAGGTTTGAATGCTTAGTTACCAGAAAGTAGAACAGTTTGAAAGGATTAGAAGGATTAGGGGCTGTGACCTTATTGAAGGAAACGTGTAGCTGAGTGTTGGGATCTCTTAGTCTGGCCTCTACCCTCCTCCTCCCCCACTGGTGACCAAGCTTCCGAAAACAACCCTAGTTCCGTGTTTTGAGTTGTTTACTCAGGCCTAACTTCCTGGGAACATGTTGCCCCTGCTCTGACCTCCTGGGCATACTTTGAGCCTACCACCTGGCTGGGCCTGCTTCCTGTTTTGGGTCAGGTATAAAAACTTCCCTTATGCTGTAAATAAACGGCTTCGGGTTCTACCTTCATTCAGTCAGTGTGATGTGTCTTCAATCCTGATGTCCTTCACTCGGGTTCGGTTCCAGGCCATGCAGGCATGGCAACTGAGGGTGGCCTTTGAGGTTTCAAAAGTCCATGCCAGGCCTAGTCTCTCATCTGTTGCCTGCTGGTCAGAATCAAGCTCTTCGTTACTGCTCCAGTACCATGCGTGCCACCATTCATGCTCCTTGCCATGATGATAATGGACTAAAACTCTGAAACTGTAAGCAAGCCCCCATTAAGTGCTTTCTTCTGTACGAATTGCCTTGGTCGTGGTTTTTTCACAGTACTAGAACAGTGACTAAAGGACTGTATGTTTGCCTCCATGTAAATCTCTGTATTGTGTGTGTATGCATGGTACCCGCCAGAAGAGGGCATCAGACACTCTGGAACTGTAGTTATAAATGTTTGTGAGCCACCATATGGATGCTGGCTGTCGTACCTGGGTCCTCCAGAAAAGCAACAAGTGCTCCTAAACACCGAGCCATCTCCCCAGTCTCTTTTTCCCTCATTTTTAGGCAGGGTCTCACTATGTATCCCTGGCTGGCCTGAAACTCACTACATAGGCTAGGCTGACCTCAAACTTACAGATATCTGCCTATCTCTACCTCCCAAGTGCTGAGATTAAAAGGTATGATCACCATGCCCAGCTGAACCTACAT